CTTTGCTGTTTCATGTATGTCCATTTTGGGGTGAATTATTTCCAATGCCACAGGTCCGGCCTCATTTCTCGGTGTTGACCTGAAGGAGCTGCAAGATTTGTGCAACCGCAAGCAATGTTAGTGGACAGAAATTCACGTACATTTGTGTACTTTATTCATGCAATGTAAAAACGGTGGAGACGATGTGCAATAAAACGATGAAAATATGAAGAAATAGTGTACAGAACAAATATGGATTCAAACAAGTTTTCGTACAACACTCATTAGGAATCGTCGTTGTTCTAAAGTTTATTGTTAGAACACGCATTCGTTATTGCTCTCGCTTTGATTGTTAAAATTGACACTTGTAAATTTCAATGCTGTTGTTCTTAGTGTTATTTATCTAACTTAGATTTTCTATAATAGTTCAATAGTGCTATCTTTAGAATATCAGTGTTTCTTGTATTAGTTATAGATCTAATAATCTACACCTTGTCATACCATAAATAAAATAGTCTCATTTGTGTGCAACATTTCAATCGATCGTAACTCAGTCAGTCCTGTTATATTTCCAAGAACTGTAATTCGTACATGTAGGTCGAAAAGAATAATTATTCCCAGCTGTCCATTGAAACAATCGTGGAAGCCCCCCGATGTGTAGTTCCAGAGTAGGCTCAGGCGGATTATGCTCGCGACATAATGGAATTATGCTTTCATGGATTCTCGCATTATGCTCGCAAAATCCTCATATTATGCTTCGGCATGCAGGGATACATATCCACTGTTACAGGCAAGAATTCAAATTCCGATACACGTGCACAGGCACACTCTCCGAACGCAAATGGGACAACACACCATTACTAGACGTTCTGGATTTCTCCTTGCAAACACACTTCAACCATAACCGGCATAACTCTCTAAAAAACTGCAAAAGGAAGCAAAAAAGGGCCAGCAAAGGCACAACGCGCTTGCGCCACGACATACACGTACACGTGACACAAAAGGCATCATAGTGCGAGCATGACTCATAGTCATAGTCATAGCTCAGTCATACAGTACAGCACAGTTGTACAAGCGCATGATCGCGGGTACAAAGGGTGTTGTGAACCCTCTGGTTCTCTAAAGTATCAGGAACGAACGACCCCACACGGCACGAGGACAACTATTTATTCTCAACAATATCTTTCACTTCCATCGACTAATAACAATGAACAATGAATGGAACAACTGAATGAACTGAATAACTAACACTAAAACCACCAGGTAGTTATAGCGTTAAAATTACAGCGTATATGAGAAAAGCATACACATACAACATACAACTACAGCGCACACAGCAAACCGCACATAGCGCCTGTAGCGTATGCCACGTCGTAAACATCAGCGGTACGGCGGAGTCGGGATACAGCTGCATTGAAACGAACACAATGTCACAAGCGAGAAGGCCTTTCACTTTCGAGAACTTGTCGTTTCACAACATTCTCCCCACCAAAGGGCTTCTCACCGCCGTACACCAACTCACAAGTCAAACGATTTGGGGCTTACTACGCGTTATCTGCTGCTGCGGTGGTGGCCATGGTAGAATATCACTAATGCCCACCACTTCAGACAACTCGACATCGCGAAGCTCGCCGCTGTGGGCTGTCGCACACGACACTGTTACCGATCCACTTCGACATGGGGCAGACGCTGGACCAGACAACACACCACCGATAATGTCATAAAGCTCGACGATGTGGGCTGTCACACACGACATGGTCACCGGTACACTGCTTCGACCCGGGGCGGGCGCGGAATCCGAGGACACACATCGGATCTCTGTGTTCCACACAGTCTCGCCGCTTACTTCTTCCGTGCTAACCAGTAGTATCGCCCTTCTCATTTTCTCGGCTACTACGCCTTGCGTTTCTAAGTCTTGCGCCTCTAACTCTTGCGCCTCCAACTCTTGCGCCTCCAACTCTTGCGCCTCCAACTCTTGCGCCTCCAACTCTTGCGCCTCCAACTCTTGCGCCTCCAACTCTTGCGCCTCCAACTCTTGCGCCTCCAACTCTTGCGCCTCCAACTCTTGCGCCTCCAACTCTTGCGCCTCCAACTCTTTCGGCCGAGACTCCAGCTGCTTCTGAGCGTCTCCGACCGATGTCGCCATGCACTGTACCGACCCAGTGGGCCTCGGATCTGATCCTCCCACTGGCTTCGAATGCTCTTCTGACCGCTGCTTGTCTGTAAGCAAAGTCTTACACGCCTTGTCCGGCGTCCTTCTGGGCGAGGCAAGCAAATCTCGCTTTGCTTCCTCATAATATGTACTGACGGCGATGCGCTCGGCCATCTTCTTGAGCTTTTCGTTAAACTCTGCGCGGAGCGCACACTCTTGCCGTCTAGCACTGCGCTCTTCAAACTCCTCGCTCTGTCGGAGCCTCTTCTCCACGTATTCTCTCAACCTATCGCCTTCAAATCCATACCGAATTCCGTTGGCGATAAAGCTGGCTTCGATGATCCATAGTTCCTGTGCCATGCTCGCTTCGTATCCTGGCGTGGTCGCCAAATGTTGTGAACCCTCTGGTTCTCTAAAGTATCAGGAACGAACGACCCCACACGGCACGAGGACAACTATTTATTCTCAACAATATCTTTCACTTCCATCGACTAATAACAATGAACAATGAATGGAACAACTGAATGAACTGAATAACTAACACTAAAACCACCAGGTAGTTATAGCGTTAAAATTACAGCGTATATGAGAAAAGCATACACATACAACATACAACTACAGCGCACACAGCAAACCGCACATAGCGCCTGTAGCGTATGCCACGTCGTAAACATCAGCGGTACGGCGGAGTCGGGATACAGCTGCATTGAAACAAACACAATGTCACAAGCGAGAAGGCCTTTCACTTTCGAGAACTTGTCGTTTCACAACAAAGGGTTTCAAAAATTCAAATAAATTATCATGAGAGCAGCTCAAACAACTACACGTTCGAAGCAGAAACAGAATAGAAGAGAGACGGAGAAGCAGAGTAGAACGCGACTAGACAGAAGGAGAGAATTATCAGTGTCAGTAGAACAATAGCATGCATGTACACTCGTAATAGCGGAACAGACGACATGGCTGTAGGCTGCAGCATCTCCACGTGCGCGCTCGCACAAACGTGACTCAGAGGAAGATGAATAAATAAACAGACAAGGTAAGGTCAAAACGAGAATCATTCAAGAGGCTGTCTTGAAGCATTTACAGAACAGGCGAATGGCGACAACATCCACTCTGTTGTACTTATGGAGCCTCAAAGTTCGGAAAATTCTGCCTTTTCGTACTTCCAGGTGGCCATGCGTACAACAAAATACATGAGTATCCCCATACCAAGGTACTAGGTGTCCATGCATGCTAGAGATCAACATGGAAAAGAGAAAACATTACTTCTTCAATTCATTAGTTGACTCCTTTTTTTTGTAAAAAGATTTTTTCATTGCCGAATTAGTTTGAGTTACCTTTGAAAATTATCATCACGGTTCAACTGTCTTCGCAATCCTCATACTCGCCCAAGCGTTGTCAACCTCACCCTGCGATTAATCAGCTCATCTCTCCCGTAGCTCTATCTGTACTTCCATCATGACCGAACATCAATTACACCTCAATTTGTTTACCAGTACTAGTAGTTATTAGAGCTACATTGTACATTGTATATCCGTAGACTGCGAAGTCATCATTTTTTTTTGTTTTTTTTTCATGGTCCCGAGCTATTCGGATGGCTCGGTCAAATTTTTTTTACTCAAATTTTGAAGATCAAAAGGAAAGCTTTGCAATAATAACAACAATAAAACGTAGCCTGTAGAATGTAAAAAGTCACTGAGTACAGTTTAATTCAATATCCATGTCCAGTATTTATAATAAAAATAATCTGCTGCAATTTATAGATTCTCACATGCGAGCAACCTGGGCCTCAGCAACAACCAGCTCAGCAGACTCCGGATGCCGAACCAATCGACCACGGAAAAGACCCCGTGAACCCCGCAAACACATGATGCATGATCGCAACAGGGCAAATGAGAGACGGCATCTGATGTAAGGTATTACGTGGGAGTACTGCTCCTTCCTCCTTTCCGCTCTCAATAACGCGATTCGGCGATAGAGTGATGTCGCCGCTCTTCCCATACCACCACTTGCCGACAGCACAACAGGCATGAACGTCGCATGCTCCACCTCTCTCACTCTCTCTTCATAACATCGTCGCTTTTCTTTTTCATGGCGCCCATGCTAAAATCCAGAGCAGAGATCATGACTTCGTAACATGCAGAACGTAGACCTACATGACTGCATGCAGCGTTTTGCGGGCTACCCGTCACTATCTCGTTCGCGCCGGGCTGCGGGATACCTGATAAAGGCTGATTCACTGGCATATTCTGCTACATGTACTGTATCAATGTGAGAAAGAACTTTGAAGGAGACGAGTTCGAGCATACAATAGTGTATTGCCATGATTTCTACTCTGCTTTTCATTGAAAACACTATCTGCATGACCTCCGAACCCTTTACTGAGTACCATGCAGACCACCACCAGCACTACTCATGTGCATTGTACACAATTGTGACAGTGTGGCCTACATACTAAAACTGTAGTACAATCCGAAGTAGTTATGCTCCTACCTCCGAAAGGATGCAAAATTATGCTCCAAATTTTCAACCACCAAATTATGCCGGCATAATCCGCCGGTGCCTATTCCAGAGTTATGAAGCCTGAAAGTCGAATCGCGGCGAATGTCGCGCAATAGCCGCGTGCGCAGATTTGAATGAGGGATTTCCCCATCATTCTGGGCATGTAGTGACGTAAAAAAACACGTTCAAAATGGCATACGGACTAGTGGCAGTTTGTGAACATTTTTGAAGTAATTACTTCGAGTAGTTGTTACGAGCAAGGCTGAGAGCGAAATGGCAAGACGACTTCTGTTGGATTATTGGCGTGGCAACTAAGACACTGGGATATAGCGCCAGAGTTTTGACATTCGTGATGGCAAGTGCAGGCTCCTCTTGCGACGAGCTTTCCAGGAAGCCCAAGATTGAAAAAAAATCGTCAAAAGGAGACTAAAATCATAGCCCGGAGAATTATGGAATTTGAGGTGAGTCGAGATCAAATTCAGTCGGCGTACATTTTCGCACATAAAGGGCTTCAAACGGTGCATGATATCTTGCGCGACTGTTGACGTCATTGTTGATTTGTTGCTGTGGATCAGTTCATGACTCGTATTTCTCGTCCCCTGGTGCTGCTGTCAGCGTGTTGTGGTTCCTGGCGATTTCATTCAAAGAGAGGGCTAGAACATGGATGTTTTAGTGCTGGTAGATTAGTGGAAAGGCATGAGGCCTCGCTCTTTATGTGATGCATTGCGCTGAATTAACTTAGGACTAATACCCTCGCAGTCAGCATTATTGGCCTCATTGGTTTCCAGATGTGGGTAAAGATTGTGTGACTAATCCAGTGGTGCTAAACATGTTTGTTGAATAGAGAGGTTTCGGGGTACGATTTTCCGTGCCAAAATCCGTATGGGCCCTATCGATATTTTCCAGGCGTGCTCCATACAATTTTTCGGCACGGAGAATCCGTGTGGACTGGCTTTCATACGAACCATGTTTCGTATGGAGATTTGGCGTCATCGGGTGCAGAAAGATTTTTCGCCTACAAATTTGGTACGAGAAACATCGATTTTCGGCGGGAAGTTTTGGTTTCGGTACAAATTTTAAAAATATAAAGGCATAGCGTGGGAATGTGACGTGTTTGGGATCGTAACCTAGGCAATGACGGCAAACACAGAAGTTCCGTACTCCGGAACATTTCACTGCTCGAAAACGACGTATGAAAAATCCGTAGCGTCTCTACGGATTTTGGCACGAAAAATCGTACTCCGGAACCTCACTATTCTCACAATGGCACCATCGCCAATAAAATATGTGTTTTTTTGTTGTGTTTATCAGATAATATCTGCAAGAACCCAATAATATGAGAGCATAATGTGACGATGGCTGCGGCCTACATCTTCGTGTCCTGTGTATAACAGATGTCAATCCACACTGTACTGTCATTGGTCATCTGCTACTATGTACTCACCGGTACTACAGTGATGAGTTGTCCTGCATCCTGTAGGTGTTATGCACCTGATTACCGTGTATTTTGCTACAGTGGCGGATTAACAATGGTGCCTGGTGGAATACCGAATACAACAAAAGATCTGTAAGTCACCCATCTTGGAACATGCCATGCAGCCATTCACACTTTCCATATCTGTTACTTGGTCCGCGTCAGCAATATTGTCGCTTATCTTTCGACAATTTGAACTTTGACTTCGGACATGAACGCGTGCACTTGAAGTGATGGACTTGGTACGATGGACGGTAAGGTATAGAATGACAACTAGCTGCGAGGAATTTATTGTCCAAGGAAGGGTTCCTACTTTTTTTCGGTCCTCTTCGCTGCTATCGGCGCTGGCGACAAATATTTTTGCTCGGGATCGACTCTCTTGCTTTTGCAAGCTCATCTCTCTTCCTCTCCGCTGCCTGGCTATTTTCTAAAGAGAAGTCGATCGTGACGGTCGCCTTCACTATAGGACTTCACGTGGGCAGCACGACAGCCTGTGTGGTTCAAATCAGACGCCGTTCTTTGCAAGATTTTATTTTGAACGACGACGTGTCGTACAGTACTTACAAATCTCCACGATGGGCTGGATAGTCAGAGCGTTGAGCTGGAGGTGAGGGAGCTGCGATCTCAGCTTGATGAGCGATCCCTGAGATGAGCAATCTCGGCCGTTAAGCAAAATGGAGCTGATTCCGAGTAGCCAATTACTTTCTTGTGGCTTGTGCTGCTCTTGCCTGCACAGCGTGAAAAGATTATCTATTTTGATTTGGCGCTGTATCAATCAGAATCACCCACCTATCGCTCTCGAAATCCACTCGAACTCTAGCTAGACCTTTCAAGTACTAGCAAACTAACATGCTAACCGAAATTGGGATGAAATGGGCTGCCAAGTGAGCATTGGCGACATATAAACAAAGCGACAATATCGCTGACGCGGACCAAGTACACTGAATTGTCGGCATTTGCAATGTGATGAGATCATCTGCTCAAGGCTCAGTATGTGATGGATATTCAGGATCCATTGTTTATTGGAAAGATCAAGACAAGAAGCCATTTTAGCAAGCGTGAGGCGAAATAGCACGTCATAGTACATTCGAGATCAGCGGGAAGAAGATGACGACGTCCACTAATTTAGTATCTGTGCACACGAATCTGCTGTGTGTGTTACTCTGTGTGTCAGCTATGGCATCATGGCCTGTTGTTCCATGCCTAGCATGTACGTCTGAACCATTCTGCAAAGTTTGAATGACGTAGGTTGAGCGAGTGCTCCGCGAAACATACTTTTTGAAATTCTCTTCATAGTATAGCTTCCACCATTGAAATTTCGAATTTCTTCGAATTTTTTGCTGAGAGGGGTGGCTTGCAACCTCGATATGGCTTGTTCCAGGCATGCTTTTTGAGCCATCGCCTGTTGAAAGAGTGGCGGAAAGCTGCCCTGCAACTTTCCAACAGGAAATTAATCGATCCGAGAAAGCGCGAGTCCGCGAATCTTGGTTGAATATTGAGTATTTCAAGCATTTCACGACGAAGATGGAGTTCTTTTTGGAGATGGACATCGCGGCAAAGGACATGGTGTCCGACTTCTGGCGTCTGGTGAAGCCAGGGATCATTTGTCCAGTCAGGTCGGCAGCCTAACCGTCGGTAAGCTTGTGTGTGGATCCCGTTCTGCTCGATGTGGTAGATCACAAACAATTTGATATCGCACAAATTGATCTCAGCATCGTGTGTACAGTATTTTATATTCAGAAAATCCCAAAGTGTCTCTGTGTGGCCGTCCTATGCCATGAGAAACTCCAAACAGGCTCCTAGGTCCTCTGCCTTCATGATTGAATGTCCACTTCGTTTGAACAACGAACACAACAATCGAGGACGGCTTTGCAATGAAAAATACAGCTATGCTGGAGCTGAAAAAAGAAGAAAAAACGTGCTCAGGATTGCGACTCGAGTACACGCATACTATTCCAGCAGGTGAAACGCAAATTTTTGTGAAAAATGCGTGTCGCCGACTGACCAGTAATTTCGCCTGACGGAAAATCTCAATTTTAACACCACCAGTGATTGAAAAATAGACACACGTCTATCTTAAGGATAATATTATGCAATCATTAAATATTTTACAACACGTGAAAAGGTTTTCCGAGAATTGCAAATTTGGGATTCACGTCGTTTGAAGACCTGGTCTTTGAGCAAAAGCATTCACGCCTTGGTGAAGAATTGTTGGATGACAAACCTCAGCGGTATGACACCGTCAACAACGCGTATCCCAACATTATGCGCTCACGCTGTGAATAGCTCGGATATATTCCTGTTTACCTGTGCGAATTGGGACTAGAAACCTGCGAGGTTTATTAACTTGGATGAGAACTTGGACGGATTTCCATGAGCTGGGGTTAACCAAATTGACGAGCTCCTTGTGACAGATCCTCCCACGCACATTAGTCGATTCCATGCCATGTACTTCAGCGTCGTATATTTCTGCCCTAGCAGATGAGCGCGGGATATCCTAGCGCCACATAAATCAGCGCCAAAATCATCAGCGCCACAGACTGAAGTGCCACAGACTGAAGCGCCACAGACTGAAGTGCCACAGACTGAAGCGCCACAGACTGAAGTGCCACAGACTGAAGTGCCACAGACTGAAGTGCCACAGACTGAAGTGCCACAGACTGAAGTGCCACAGACTGAAGCGCCACAGACTGAAGTGCCACAGACTGAAGTGCCACAGACTGAAGTGCCACAGACTGAAGTGCCACAGACTGAAGCGCCACAGACTGAAGCGCCACAGACTGAAGTGCCACAGACTGAAGCGCCACAGACTGAAGTGCCACAGACTGAAGTGCCACAGACTGAAGTGCCACAGACTGAAGCGCCACAGACTGAAGCGCCACAGACTGAAGTGCCACAGACTGAAGTGCCACAGACTGAAGCGCCACAGACTGAAGTGCCACAGACTGAAGTGCCACAGACTGAAGTGCCACAGACTGAAGTGCCACAGACTGAAGCGCCACAGACTGAAGTGCCACAGACTGAAGTGCCACAGACTGAAGTGCCACAGACTGAAGCGCCACAGACTGAAGCGCCACAGACTGAAGTGCCACAGACTGAAGTGCCACAGACTGAAGTGCCACAGACTGAAGTGCCACAGACTGAAGTGCCACAGACTGAAGCGCGACAGACTGAAGTGCCACAGACTGAAGTGCCACAGACTGAAGTGCCACAGACTGAAGCGCGACAGACTGAAGTGCCACAGACTGAAGTGCCACAGACTGAAGTGCCACAGACTGAAGCGCCACAGACTGAAGTGCCACAGACTGAAGTGCCACAGACTGAAGTGCCACAGACTGAAGTGCCACAGACTGAAGCGCCACAGACTGAAGCGCCACAGACTGAAGTGCCACAGACTGAAGCGCCACAGATTGAAGCGCCACAGACTGAAGCGCCACAGACTGAAGCGCCGTTTTCTGAGCGCAAATATGTTGTACAATGTATGTATTCAAGTGGTTTCCTTCACTGTCAAGTGGTGTGCTTCACTGTCCGAAGAGTGCTCACTACCCATGTAGGGCAGAGCCTTGTACACAAGAGAGAGAGAGATTGGAAGCTTTGTTACAACTCTGAGTTTCACGTATTACTACGATCATCAGGCAACTGGTGACTCCAAAACGGGCAGGCAGAACATAAGGGGGAGCAAGGTGGGAAATTCTGAGGGGTATCATGGGCGACATGTATCATAGCGCAAGAGCAATGGCACTGGGCCACTGACACTCTGTAATATGTATGCACATCTGCCTAAACATTGCTGCATATTGCCATACGCCTCATGCCCTGCTCATGCCCTGCTCATGCCCTGCTTATCCTTTTCTCTGGACCTGAATGTGCACCCCTTACGTATTATACTACTTGGTCCGTTTCATCGCAATTGTCGATTATCTATCGCAACTAAGAACAGGAGTTTTTTTACCGCTCTGTAAAATTTCCAATACGCATAGTGAAGAAGTATGATACAGGATTCCTGTCCGCCACAAGAAATAAATTCAGCGATGGAATCTGATGAAGCAAGTCAAAGAAAGGAAGCAAGGTTACAAAAAATGTACAAAAGAAAACAGCGACGGAGCGCCTTCTTGCACTCACGCTTTAGTTTATCCGACTCTGGCTCTGTATCACTCGAGCTGATGCCATTTGAGCTGACATTCACTGGTGTGTATAGCTGCTGGCGTAGAGTATCTCTTGCTTTCTCTGCTTGGCGTATAGTAGCAATGGGAAAGGAACAATCGCGGCTGTCACTTTGGCACTTGGAGGAACGTGGGCACCGTGACCCGTCTGTCACTACAGTACTGTGTGTTCAACAATGTTTTTGAATCAGGCACACATCCCTCTCCAGACAGCTGTCATACGCTCTGCTGGATACGCTGACCACGACTGTTGTGCTGCCGCTGCCAGGTCGGACAATGTCTTTTTTGCCACCATCTCGCAATCAGTTTGCAGGCTTGCAAAGAATACCAGGTCATTGCAGTTCAAACAACTGAGCTGGCTGGCCTGGCCGTGACTGTCACGCTCTCCAGGTCAGGATGTCGATTTCCCCTGCTACAGTTCCGGTCTTTGAGCTGCGCTTCGCTTTTCGCTGCAGTGAATGTGTGCATTCAGGCAGTGTTCATTCACTGCAGTGCATTCACTGCAGCGAAAAGTTTCCCACTTTCCCATCAAAATTGTATGAATCGCGATGCCACTGGCGGTAGTTGCGATGGTTTTTTTCTTTCTGGTCTCCTTTGATCTTGCTATCACAACCTCCCAAACGAATTTGAGCTAGATATCGAGATCGGACTGGGTTTTACCTGTCAAAAGGTGCGTGGGAGATAAGCGACAATTGCGATGAAACGGACCAAGTATATTTTATTTCTCTCCCCTCTCTTGCTTCCCAACCCTCCCCTGCGCTCTCTCTCTCTCTCTCTCTCTCTTTCTCTCTCTCTCTCACTGTCTCTCTGCCTCTCTCTCTGCCTCTCTCTCTCTCTCTCTCTCTCTTTCTCTCTCTCTCTCTTTCTCTCTCTTTTCCCTCTCTCTCTCTTTCTGTCTGTCTGTCTGTCTGTCTGTCTCTCTCTCTCTCT